GATGTCAATTAGACAATTTGCGATTTTATTTTGATTAAATACTAAAAATTTCTTAAAAATATAAAAAATTATCAGGGGACCCCTTTCAAAATTATGGGATCATCTTATATTTTGAGTCAAATTATAATTGGGTAAATAATATAAAATGCTCGTCGGCATCTTCGCCATGGACGCGGCGTCACCCTGACAGCCTAGTAAATACTGACTCCGGCCGCGGAAGCCTATGCTCTCATGCTTGAAACAGGTTGTTCAATAACCTGCATTCTGGTATTTGGAAGATATCAGATGAAAAAAGTCTATTAAAAATGTGCTGCTTTGTTATTATTTCTGTAGTACTTCAGTAGTATTTCTGTATTCTTAAATTTTGATGTTTAAGCTGTGTACAAGTATTTTGTTAGTGACATGGAATCAATTAATGCTATAATAAACAAATATATAATTTTTGTTCTACATTGTTATATCTGTGTCTTATGTACTGAGCTGTGCTATGTTGTTTATTACTTTGAATTGTAATTTTATCATTCTTACTTAATATTACCTAATATTACTTTGTAAAGCGAGGAAATTTATTACATGCACAAATGAATTGATATATGTAATACACATGGTGGAAATTTTGTTATTGTATTGTTAACACATTTATGCATGCATAAATAAATAATTTTTTTTATTCAATTAATTAAATATAAATGAATTTAACTATGTTGCAGTCTGGTGCTCGAGGTGGCAAAGTACTCAGTTTGTTACATGAACAAACCGCTATGTGTATGGGAAACACCAAAAGCCAAGAATTGTGTTTATATTTGACTCAAAAGGCATGTGTTCCATACATGGAAATGTTGGAGAAATGGTTGTATAAAGGAGTTATATATGATCCACATCATGAGGTATGTCTAGTTTGCCTTTGTGCCTCTGTGACAGGATGACCAATTTCAAGTAAAACAGGGAGAGTGACTTTTTATATCGCGTATACATTTTTAATGTGAGACTGCTTGAGTTGAATAAAATAGTGAGGCTTCAAAAACTAACATTATTTATAGTTATGAATAGGGGGTGAATTGTGATGGCCCAAAATATCACCAAAAAGGATCAATAAAATGCTCTTAAATTTTTTTAAAATGCTGTAAAAGCAAAGAAAAATTGTAAAGATGTAATAAAATTTATCCAAACTAGTTCAGATGCTCTTCTTAGGCTTTTGAATGTATTACTGAGTTAATTGAGGCTTCTTTCTTTCGTTTTATTGAACTCTGCACACAAACTTTTGGTTTGAACTGTTCTTTACCACGTCTTATAGAATTTTTAGAATCTTTAGATATCCATAACATGTGGCACAAATAGGTGTCACAGGAACCTTAGATTACATACTGAGTATATACTAATGACAATAACATTACTATTGCTGAGCAAAGAAATAGAATAGACTACTGAGTAATTCTCTGAAGAACCGTTTTTGTATCACTTAAATATTATTTGTAGCAAGTAGCATTAAAATTGATAAAATGAGTGAAATATGCTTTAAAAATTACTCTAAAAGGCAAAAAATGTCTTATTAGTAGAAATCAATGAAAAATGCAACAACAATAAAAAATCCTATAAAAATAGTTCATTTGCTTTTGTCATGACATTAAATTAATGTGTGCACTAAAAGGCATCATTCTAAAGGGAAAAGAAAACCAAAATGACATTTCATTAAAATCCACCCCCTAGTTATGAAATTCACATTCCTTTTAAAACATCATACTGCCTATATAACATCTGTATGTGATATCATGAGGTATAAAAAATTCATAACTACAGATTCTGGATCACTGATACAGTGGGAATTAAGGAAAATCAATATACTGTGTGTACGTTTAATTTAAAATCACATTATTATTTTGATAAACGCACTCCTGAAATACCCAGGCCAATTAAATTTAATGCACTGAAAAGGGGAAAATAAATTCAGGAGGTCAATAGATTTAGGCAGCCTAATGAATTTGAAGGATTTGTGAAGTTTTGAGGAACCAAAAAATATAAAGTAGAAATATTTTATTTAGTAATTGAACATTTTATCAATTTGTTCAAACATGGTTAGTGTGTTTAAATTTTAATTATAGGAGAAAACTTGTTCTTGCTCACACAGCAACTTAATAGTATGTGAAATATTGAGGATGATGTAGATAAGCCGTTTTTTAATAAAAGAACCTTTTTATGCAGTTCAATCAGAAACTATATGTACTAGCACCTCTCAATATAGCTTGATGTTTAGACAACAGCATTGCAATGAATCAGTTTCCTTTTCGTACTGTATAAGCTAGCAGTCAAGTCAGTAAACTTTGTTATGTTCTTCTGCCAAATTTTGTTCTTGTGGTCTTGGTCTTTTTCAATCTCAGTGCTTCCTGTATTAGGGTCCTGTCATGTTTGATTTGATGATTCCTGTGGAGGCAACTGTATTGTATTGGTTTAATGCAAGTGTAAAGATATATCTTGGAAGCTTGTATGGCCATTGTATAATTGGATTTTAAACTAGATTCATTAGTGGTTTGAAGAAAGAAAACCTGGTCCATAATGGATTTTTTTAATGAAAATTCACATAAAAATTTCAGCCTTCACTTCTCAAGATATTATTAGCTTCATGTCAGCTCGACAATCTATCTTTCATTGTTCATTTCATTTCACTCCCAATGTAAATAGAGCTATTAAAATCTTACACTTCCAGTTTCTGGTTGAGGATAATGAGGTTCATTATGAAGATGCTCCAAGAATTTATTCAGCTGATTATTGGGAGAAACGATACAATGTAAGTAGGGAAAGAATACCTGTGTTTTTGGAACGAATGGCTGATATGATCCTTCGAACTGGGAAATACCTCAATGTCATTCAGCAGTGTGGTAAGCAACATCAATTTTTTAACTCTACATTCAAAATATTTTGTTTGTTTGTACTGACATAGCTAAATTATTAGAATTAAGTTGAATTTTCATAATTTATTGCTGTAATTTTCTGATACATTAACAAATGCCGAAGATTTGCATTCAATACTTGGTATGTCATCCTTTAGACATAATGAGGGATTAGGTTCATCTTGGAATCCCGTTAAGTAGGGTTTGTCAAATATTTATGATGTAATCGTCTTCTAACCAGTCTCATAGGATTTTAGAAACAAGCTAATATTGTGTTGTTATATTTATATTTCTCAATTTTTCTGCCATAGCCAATAGATTTGCGATTGAATTGCAAATTCTACCGAATTCTATTGAATCTGCAATTCACCGTCACACCACTGGTCTATTTGAAATATCTACTGTTTATCAGCACTTTATCAGCATTGATTTTTTGATTTTACCATCTTCAAAGTGTATTTTCCCTTTACCGTGCCTTGATATGTATCTTCACACCGTTGTTGATGGTTAACCATTATTCATGGTTTGCTGTATGTACTAATTGGTCTTGAAAGCTTATCCCTCCTATTTTCTCACAAATTGCCTGGTGACTACAGGGAAGGCTTACAAAAGATTTAAACCTTTCAAATATTACAGACCCCCTGCTGTTCTTAAACCTCTTAACCCATTGAAGTCATCTGGAAGCCGTGGGAGATGTAATTTTAGCTTTCTTTCATTGTCTCTTTCTTGCAAGCAAATGGTGAAAAACTCCTTTTGCACATATATGGGAGATATATTAGCTTTACAGTGTTCCATTATCTGCTTATGCTTGCTCAAGTTGTTACTTGTAAGTTTTTGATAGCTGATTGTAACAGTGGCAAGGCATGGAATTATTGTGTAGTTATCACAAGATGTTGAATATCTAAGCCTACTTTTCAGAAACTACTGAGCGGTCAGGTAATCAAAATATTTTTCAAACAGTATTTTATCTTTTAAACTCTCAGACAACACTCATTTTTCTGGTATTATTTCTCCACATTTGTTTCAATAAATCTTTTGAAGACCTTCAGGCTGTATTGAAATTTCTATAAAATTCTTTGGTTTGTTGTTCCTGGACCGCAGGCTTAAGTTTCAGGTGGGGTTTAAACTAAAATTCATTCGATTGTGATTAATATGGTAGAAAATATTCTGACTCTTCATGAGCTTTATCTGATTTTTTAAACGCATTCAAATTATAAAAAGCGGGACCCAAACATTTTTACTGGAATCTTGTTTGACATTCATTTTCTAAAGAGCTTTAAGGCTTACTTGTACAGAGCTCATAAACCTCATAATTTAATTCTGTAAAGTGCCTGGTTCAAACTTGAGTTACTTTTAGTAAATTTTAGTTGTCCTGACAAAATCTTTTAAAATTTATTTGAACTGTATCTTTTTTGTTTGGATTGAACTATGACATCTTCTTAACGTTTGCTCAAAATGCATGGTAACACACTTAAAAGTGCCTAAGCAAGAGGATGCATTCAAAAAGCATTACACCATTTTGCTCAAGTTCATATGGAGAGTTTGAATGGTATGTTCCACTGGGTATGGCTGAGATTCTGTGAATTCAGAGACGATTAAGAGCACTTACTACCATGCAAGAGAATGCAGACCTCAGAATGGGTGGGAAGTTCTCAATACAATTCATATGTAATATTATTTAAATATGATTATATTTTGGTTAATTATCTGATTCTTGTCTAACAAGCTATTTAAAACACAATATTTTTATTAGTATTTTGCTGGGCCATTGCTGCATCTATAAATGACTGAATGCCTTGTCACTGTATTACAAGATTCTTGAGTTTTCTCTTAGTTCTTGAGCCTACAATATTCCTTCTTCCACATCTGCCTTCACCGTGTTCGTGTATATTTGTTCTCCATTTTGAGACTTTTCAATTGTGTTCAGTGATGTTTGTGAATTACTTAATTTTTGGGTTATTGTGTAGTTTTTCAGCAAACAAGGTCCTTATTATGTCTATTTTTCTAAAGAAAGTTTACACGTTCTTCCCATAACTTCAAAATTTTTCAGCTACTTTAAAATGAAAATCTTTGCCCTCTTAAGAGAAGATGCTTGAAAATTTCTTTTAATTAAAACTACTTACACCGGAATTTAACTGCAGATAAAGAATCACAAAAACCATGAACTCTCCACAGTTGTCACTTGGCGATAAAACCAAGCTCAACTATAATTACATTTTATTATTTATTTGTTCCTACTCTTGCCAATTGATACAAAGCAAAATAACTTAAGAAGCACAACAGATATCAGGTATCATGAGGGGTATCACTGTTAATTCACCAAATAACTGATAAGGCCATAATCAGCGCTCTTAGACACCTTTTAGATGAAATTGAACTTAATTCTAAGAATTTAACTATGTCATTAGTTAAGATGGCTTGGCTTGGCTTTGCAGGTAAAAATGTCAAACCACCAAAGGCTGAACCACTTGTCTATGCCATCACAGAGAGGCAATATGTTGAAGTAATTGAAACTGCATATAGTTTCGCTAGCAAGACTTTGTTACAACTTGTTATGGAAGAAAATGATCTGATGGGAAGATTACGGTAAAATTTACCTACCATATATCCAGTATTAGTGATTAAGTAAACCACTCATCAAAAGCCATGTGAAGTGAAAGGAAGAGACGTAATAAACTCTAAAATAAATATTATTATTTGTATTGTGTATGTTAATACAGTATTATATTTCTTACAATTAAGACACAACTAAGGTACCAATTCTAAGTAGATTTTTTGCTCTTTTAGGTGTATGTACACATTTTTGTTTGAAAGTACAGGCAAGCTGGTTTTGCAGGAAAAATAATTATATAAGTTGTATATTATTCTGACTGTTCCATGTATAATATTTATACATAAAAGTTCTTTCCTATTCTTGCTTTTTTTAACAGTCGTTAACATACTATAAAACATCACCACACCACTCACTAAAATATTATTAAAATTGAAATTAATACCAGAAAAACAAAATTCTATAAAACAGTACTGTTTAGACCTCTGACGTAAGATAGATTTTGACAATATTCAAATTGCAGATATCAAGCCTAGAATTAAACCAAAACTATTTCTGAAAGTATAAATTTAAAGATAAGAAATGCAATGAATTCATTGGTTGTAGATACAAAAATGACTAATATTCATGACGCTATACTTGCGATGCTACGTGCTATTATTATAATGCTATACTTGCGATAAAATACCATTCAATGAGACGAGAAAAAAATTAAAAACAATTATAATTTGATAATATGTATTTGAAACTGATAAACAAGTAAATCTGTTTTTGCTGAAAATATTCTAAATAGATTACCCTTTTAAACTGTTTTTATTATTTTGAATCCTGTCTTTTTAGTTAAGTGTGTACTTCACTAAGGAAGTAGAGGTAATTGTTTTAATTCTGAGGAAAGAAGTAGCAGGAAATAAATGTTTAAATATACAGTAATTCATTATTATTTTGTATTTTTCTTTACCTTTGAATATGTATGGATAGATGGATATACATCATACACAGGTGTATTCAAATTTTTAAAAACGGTAGTGCTGTTTGCCATTTTTCACTTAAATCTCATCTTTCCCTACAATAAATAGAGTATGGTTTTACTGTTACAGGTCCGTAAAACATTACTTCCTCTTGGATCAAGGAGATTTCATAGTCCAATTTATGGACAGTTGTGAGAGTGAGTTGTGTAAGAACATTGATGACTTGGTTCCCACACGCCTGGAGACCTTGTTAGAATTAGCACTGAGAACATCTGCTGCCAATCAGGATCCTTACAAAGAGGAAATAAGCATGGAACTTCTGCCATATGACTTAATCTTTCAAATGTGCAAGATTTTGAAAATCAATGATACAGAATGTAAGTGAAGGAAGTCCATAAATTCTTCAGTGCTTAAGTTGTCCTTGGGGTGCTACTGAACTATTTAACACCTTGCCGTTTCCTAATGCCCTTCATCCATTGAGGAATAATACATGCTGTGCCATATAATTGTATCGCACAATTGTAATTGGCTTGGTATACAGGTATTATGTTTCTGTTCCTTAATGCTCTCTGCCCTTAATTCTTTCTGGCAAAATGTACTGAATCTGTAAGCATTTTAATATGTAAATTGAAAATAATCGCTGACATGTAATAATTCACGTGTGGAAGTTTATGTCAAAATTTAATAGTTACAATGTTGTAATAGTTATATTTATTACAGCAATATATACTAAAATTTTTGTTTAAAAGTTAAATAGGTGGATCATGAAACCTTCAGCATTTAGTCCATTCATTATCACTTAATACATGATTCAGAATAATTTTTACCACCACAACATTTTTGGTATTTCAATAACATTAATTTGCTAATTGTAAATTTTTTTTTCAGCTTACAAACGTTTGCAGTGTGACAAGAAAGATCTGACTGGTCTCTTAGCATTTTCATTTAACTATCAAGTTAAATGGCCTGTCTCCTTGATTCTTAATTTTAATGCTATAGCATGCTATCAAATTATTTTTAGACATCTTTTTTACTGCAAACATATTGAACGTCTTTTATGCAGGTGAAGATACTTTTTAGATGTTTATTTATGTAATAAAGGTAGCTTCTGGTTTGATGTTGTATTATTTTTTATACAGGGTGTGGTTGAAGAACAAACTTGCAAAAACCTTTTCGCTTCAGTCTTCCCAGATGTATGTTTCTGCATTTGCATTGAGGCAGCGAATGCTAAATTATGTCCAGAATTTGGAGTATTATACTATGGTAGAAGTTATTGAACCTAACTGGGTTTCATTCCTGAATAAAATGAACAAGGTACAATGCTTCTCCTTTAAAGATACATTCATATTACACATTTGTTTGCTGAGTTAGTTTCTTGTTTTTCTGTGTTTGTAAAATGATAAAACATGTTCAAATATTTATTTATGATACAAGTCGTAAAAGTTTATTTTGTGAGTAGAATTGGTTGTGGCACGAGGCTGATAGGTCGAGTGGCACATTTCTACAAAGAAAGTAAAATTATTTTTTAATAATAACTAATGACTTTCATTAAATTTTCATTTCTTTTTCACTACTACTTGCACAGTGTAGAGGAAGAGATGTAAACAGCGAATTTTTTGACAGAAAATCTCTTTTTGGTGCGCCCTGATAGTGAAAAAGTGGATAAGTCTTTTCCCTTTTTATAGTATTCCCTGTATGTAGTCTGTCTGTCCTTTGTCAACACTAGCACCTAAACCGATTTTTTCCAAAATTGATGAAACATGAAGCCTCTGAGACATTTTTGAAAAAATAGCACCAAATATTTTGATTTAATTTTATTGTTGGATAGTGTAATGGCAGTGAAGGAAATCGTGTGGGTCTCGTTTTCATTAAAATGTCTAATTTTTTTTTTAATTCAAAATTTTTTTGGCCGTTTCCTACAACTAAAATATTGAAGATACAGATTTTTTTTTTACTTTCTTCACACTTACTTATGTAAGAACATAAGAAGGGAAAGTATTGTAATTGTGCGCCGGAAAACAGCGAATTTCCAACATAAAAACTCTTATTGCCAAACCCTGGTAACAAAAAAGTGGATAAATGGAGTTGCTAAATACAGAAAACCAATTTCTCTAATAAGTGATGTAGCCAGAATTCATGTTCTGTGCATCCTTCATACCAAAAAATTGATTGATGACAAAATATCTGTCCTTCTGTATGTGCACAATGGTAGCACATAAACCATCCAGCCGATTTTCTCCCAAATTTATATTCCCCAATATTTCTGGATGATGTTGCGGCCCCTGGAATTTGAAACTGTTATTTTAATTGTGGGGGGTACTTGAACCCCCTCGGACATTTTCAAGAAAATAGCTCCAAATTTTTTCATTAAATTTTGTTGTTGGAATGGCGGAGGACGTTTAAGAGAATGGAGCAGATCTCATTTTCATGAAATCCCTGATTTTAGGAAAATTGCAAAAAAAAATTATTCAAAATTACAAAATTGAATTTGCCTCTGACAAAAGTCTGTGTATAAAGTTTGCTGTTTTGTGAAATTTAGTAGTTCATGTAGCTTGTTTGAAATTAATGAAACATAAATGGGGAAGTATGTGCTGTTATAGCACCACTTGTTCCTGGTTGTAATCAGTTCCTTAAAGAGATCTTGGAATAAGGTCACATTCAATGTTTCAAAAATACGAGTAGGATATGTGTAATTTTGTGCAAAAAAAAAAGGCAATTAAAGAAATTATCCATTTTTTTTTTTTCAAATACTGATTTTAATTTTTTCTTTAAATTTCCTCCTCAAATTTAATGGTAAAAAATATGGAACTTTTTTTTGAAATTTTCTCAGTTGGTTAAATTCCTAATTGTAGAACCGAAATATTACTTAAGAATATTGAAATAGTGTACATCTAGTCCTAAGTGGAAATTTTTGTTAAAGAAAATGTGAAGAGTTTTGAAGAAATGTCATTTAAATATTACTGTTAATGTGAAATTTGAAAGTATTTTCACTGAAATCGTTTGACTTTTCGAAAAACTTTATTGGAAGTCACTTGAAGCACTTTCACTCATAAATGCAATTATATATACAAATAGTTGGAAATGTGCATATAGTTCCCATAACTTTTTGTCAAAAATTATAAATGATATTTTGTCGTTTTTTTTACTTGGTCTTGAAAACGTAGGGAAAATTAAAAAAAAATCTTTGACAATAATTGATTTGCAAAGTATTCTGCACCCATATGGGTGCAATAGGAACCTACACACACAGGGTTTTTTAAATTAAGAATTTTTTGGATTCATGAAAAAAAAACAAATTGTTTATTTAAAAATATAAATATAATTTATTTAAAAATATAAATATAACATTGTTTATTTAAAAATAGTTAGAGTACATATAATATAGTCAAAAGAAGTTCACTCTGCTAAACAAATTATCAAAGAAAAAATCCTAGGGTAATTTTGAAATATTATTTGCCAATTCATCCAAAATTCTTACAAATGGTGATGAGACTTACCAAAAAAACTTTAGACAGACTTTAGACATGTCAAAATTGAGAATTTGTTTGTTATCAATTTTATCAAGTTATCAATTTTTCTTGATAAGGTCCATGAATAGATGCGGCTTCTGTAGTTTGTCTCAAGAATCCATGAAATTATCTGTACAGTGACAAGATAGTTTGCATTCGACAAAAAGTACTGCAAAAAGAATTTTACATCATCTTAAACAGTGCAATTAGTGCTATCGGTTTCCAAAATGTTTGAAAAAGTTTGGAACTGTTCTTAAGAAAATGGCTTTTGAGTGTTTCTGAAAATACAGAATTTTGATTACATTTTCACAGACAACTTTTGAAGTTTCAAGAATCTTAGAAGAAATAATTTGAGTCGCATGTACTTATAAATGCAATTATGTAACAAAATCGACACTATGTGAATATTAACAATGTAAAAGGGCAGTTAAAAAAAATACATTTTTGTAATTATTGAAAAAACAAAAGAATACTGCAAAATGGCACTTATGACATCTGATGCAGTGCATGTAGCACTATCCCTACCAAATGTTTAAAGAAAAATTTGGAGCCATTTTTGATAAATTCTAGTTTTTGTTTTTTAAAAATATTTTTATTGTATTTATTGAATAATGGTGGCAGCAACAAGCTGTTGTACACATATCTCATAATGCTTTAAATGTAATTTACATATTTATATATTGTACATATTTCACTCAGTATTGCACTAAAAGTGCTAAACTGTTCAAAAAAAGAAATGTATATTGTGATATTGAAAGAACTAATTAAATGTGAACAAATTTCATTTGAAAGAAAAATCTTTCTTTTATTTTGTAGATCTAGGAAGACGCTGATGAATTTCAAACTTTTGTTATTTTTGAAAATTCAGAGTTAACAGTGTAAATAAGATCTGAGCCACCTTTATAAGTGTATTTCATTCTATTCTTAAAAGAAATTTAAAGAAAATGTGGAGCCATTTTTGAGAAAATATTGCATGGGCTTCATGTAAAGTACTTCAAAAAATTAATGAATGTTTCTCAAAATTGCATAGCTTTAAGTGAGGCCAGATCAACAGAGGTTTATTTAGTTTGGGGAAAATTGTACGTATAGTTTAGGCACTAGTGTTTACAGATGACAGACATGTTTTGAAAAAACACTTTTTCAGTATCAGGAGACCCCAAAACATGTATTTCTGTTGAAATCTTGAAATTAATATTCTACTTCGTTACAGGTCTATACTGTGTATAACACTCCATATATGAGAAAGTAACAATTGGTATTGCAGAATGGTAGAGACTTTCTCAAACTATTTCCTTTTCTAATTTCTCCTTTTAATACAATTTAACTGCTGTACTTCAGTTAAATGCAGTTATTATTGGTTGACACTGTTGTGTTTCTTCACCAGGTAAACAACATTGATGATGTGTTGGTCTGCCATTCAGATTTTCTTGATTCATGTCTGAAAGATTCCATGCTCACAAATCCTGATTTACTTCAGAATGTGTACTATCTGTTGGATATCTGTATGGAATTCTATGAATTTATTCAGGTATGTAAAATCAGAAATGTTCATAAACTATTCATATTTGTACATTCAAACATTATGTTTACTGTGTATGATGTGAAAACATCATCAGGGTGACAACAGACTTGGACAAGTGGGAAGTGTCAGGGAATTAGTCATTGGAAAGGTCACAAAAATCAAGGAATTGCTTTATTGGTAGGAAAAAAATATTTTCTTTTATTTTTATAATGCTTATTTATGTAAACACTGTCAAAGAGAGTAGTGGGTCCACATGGACAGGGCTGACTGTTTATCATGAGCCCTCTTCTGAAAACCTATGTTAAGACTTGTATCACTGTGCAAAGAACATGTAGTTATCCATGTTATTGACTATCATGAGTTGGTGAAAAAGCATACTATGAACTCACCTTTCTTGAAGTTTGCCTCTTCCCCCAAAGGACACTGGCTTCACCCTTTCCCAGCCTCTGTCCCACTGGGTGGACCACAGCATAATTTCCAGTTCCAATTCTATGGCCTACCCACTACCCACACTCTTCTCAGTATCAATCCTTTGTGCCTCAGTATGGACCATTGCTGTTTGGTTGTGCCATCTCATATGGCAACATCCAAAAGCTTTAATGGTTTACTTTCTTTCCACTGTTTCGCTTCTTATAACTTGAAATTTACAATATTTTCTTAGCTTCTGTGCAGATGTTATTAGATGTAAATAGCAATGGCAACTCAAAGCATATGCATCTAACTGAGAATGGAATAAATAAATTAGATTTTAATACTGCTATTGGTAATATATCTGAATTAGAGTATGAAGGTAATATTTTGTGTTTATCACATTAATACCCAAATTAGTTTTGTGCACGTAGTGTTTGTCCATAGTTGTCGCGTCTGTGCGTGTACAGTCATTGTTAGAGTTTTCTGGAACCATGTTTTTGCAACTTTTAGTGCTAATCGATTATGGAGTTTCTAAATTATACTACTTGAGTTACTACTACTATGAAGGTAATAGTTTGTGTTTAAACTTATTTATGTTTACCCCTTAGTACATGTTGCTGCGGGTCCCCATTCAAACTACCATTTATATGGAGAGCGCTGGGCACAGCCAAATTGGGCATTTAAAGAGGAATTGGCAAAGAAAGGGTTAATGATAATGACTTACGTAATTTAAATACTTTTAAGAGTTATTGCTTTTAGAATAAGTGCTGAGTTGTATAAGATGTTGTATGAGTTGTATTTGAAATTTATGACTAATTGGTTTAATTCATAGTTGATTATCACCAGAGAATGTTTACACATGTAATAGTGTCCTTTTTAAGAGGAATGAAGTTGAGGAACCTATTTGTGAATGAGACTAATGTTACTTACTATAATTGCTTTAATCAGGATGTTTGGTGGCATGGAAGACATGAGTCCTTTGTGTTCTAGTTTTTAATCTTTATGAAAGTATGGTGAATTTCATTACATTACTCACTTTGCATGCATAACTGCCTTTTAGATAATTTTCCATTTCGTATAACATTCTGACTTTCCTCCACGCTGCTTAGCACATGGGAAATTACTTCATCGATGCAGAACTTACATCTATGTTGTCGGGGTATGACAGCTCTGACTCATATGGAGAGGTATTGTTATGGTTGCATTATCCATTATTGCTTGTTTTCCTGCCTGGTTGGCTGTCGTTTGCATCCTCAAAGGACTGCAGTTTTCTCTGTATTGGTAGTTTTTGATTCTCATTGAATGTACTTTTCAGGAGAGAAGATTATGGTTAATCTTAATGCATGAAAATGTTATGGAACTACAAATTAAGTAGATTAAGTGCTAGGTGAATGAATAGGTGTCAGCTTTACGCAGCAACTGTTCCTTAATCTGATTCTACTTATCTCTGAATTGGTTCTTTTTCACATGTTTGATTTTGTAAGTTTTTTGTGTAGTGCTTAGTTTTACCTTATATTTCAGACAATGTATTAGACATATATTTTAAGATTGTTTTTAAAATACAGTAAAGCCTCTCTTTTACATTTCTCATGGCACCCTAGGGAAAATGGTGTAAATGGCAGGAAGTGTAAATAAAGGGAAATTATTTGTTTTCCTTTAAAACTTTGAGTATAATGTAGTTAGCCACATCCAAACAATAAACATCATAATATGCTTTAATATTCAGAATCGATACATAATAATATCAAAACAAAATCTGACGTGTGTGAATGTTTGACATTGAAAATCACAGACGTATTGATACAAAAACAGTGAATTTTAAATGCTGCAATGAAACTTTGAGTCCTCCTCATCCATTGATGGAAGTTATTGAAAATCAACAGTGCACTTAGTGATGAAGAGAGGACAACAGTATTTCTACAGTTAAAAAAAACGAGTATTGCTACAACAGCACATACTTTCTTGCATTGTTTCTAAATTTGCAAATTTCGAAAATTCAGAGATCAACAAAACAAAACCCATGCCATTCTTTTAAGTATCCCTTCATCTATTTGTGGAGGGGGAAAAAATTATAAAAAGTTGCATTTTTTCAGTTTTAAAAATATCTGGGATTTCAACAAACCTGAGACCTGCACCATTCTCTTAAATGTCAGTTACACTATCCAAGAATAAAGTTGGTTGTTGGCCATTTTTTCTTTCTTTTTAATTGCCTTTGCAATGTCATGAAATGAAAATGTGAATAGTCATAGCTGCTAAGTAAGGATTTTCACTGTATTTAAATCTTCTAATCCTCATGTAACATTTCATAAAATTATTTATAATATCTCATTCATCATTTCAAGTCTTTCTAAAAGTGTAGTGACAGTGCGAGTTGTGCACAGCATGATGTACTTTCTATGCAGTGTTGTAGCAAACATATTGTAAATTGCGGGGAAAATTGAAATTTCACTAACATAAAAGTAAGGTATTTATAACATGGTGAATATATGAAAATCAATGGAACCAACAAAAATGTTGTAAATGCCGGGAAAATGTAAATTGCAATGATGTAAAAGCAGGGTTTTACTGTATGTGTATTAATACTCAGTTTTCTATTAAAAAATAAATAAATTAAGCAATGGTATTTAAAGTAATATCATTTTTTTAAATCCATTTTTTTCTTCTATTTGATGTTGAGTATGAGAGCTTTATTGTACTTCTTTTGATGTATATGTTTAGTTAAGTTTTATTATAATGTTTTTTATAATTAAAAATTTTGCTCAAACCAGTGTAGCATATTGTTCGTAGATTTTTGTCAGCATTGTAAGGATCATAAAATTGTTCGAAATTGTGGAATGATTTGTGCACGATCATTTAATGTAAATGATTAGTTACTCTGGATACTTCCTGCTGATATTTCGAATTCTGGAATTGGAATTGTACTGATCTGAATTGTGTTTTATTTTTTTGAAATGCATTGATTTTTGGTTTTGTCATAATTTTCTAATTGCTTTTTTGTAGGTTGCAGATAGCTCCAAACTATCTGATTCATCAATCGGGAGATCTTATATCAGAAAACGTATAATTAGTGAAACAGATAAGTTTGAAGAGGCTATAGCAAAGTTGGACCAAAGTTTCACAGAGACATTGGTTCAGTTGGTAGAGCAGATAATGCTCTTTAAATCTGATAACAATAATGATAAACTTCTCAACCTTGTGTATAGGTAAGTGTTTCATCTTGTAGTTTTATGCAGCCTTTTTTTCTGAGTGTGTATGGCTTCTAGTCCAATTGTCAGTTAGCAATGTTCTGATGTGGAATCATGTATATTAGTCTTCTAAACCATAAATCGAAAGATGTAAATAAAAATAATATCTTCTCATAATTTCAAATTCCATTTGCAACATCTTATTTACAAGAAGCCTGATTCTTTGTACAAACGATTATCGAATACAAACTAAAACCTCAATTGAAAATTGAGAAAAATGAAGTGGCAATATTCAATCTCCAACTTAGTTTTTAAAACTGCATGTAAAGGCCACTTTTGTGATTGATACCTTAAAACAGGAATTCATAACCTTTTTCTTGCATTGCTCTCTTTTAAAATAATTATTTGCTGAATTGACCTCTTTTAAATTTTTAGTTTCTCATATATGTACTATATGAGATAACATAAACACCATATAACTATATTATTTGATTTTTTCAAAAAAATAATTCTTTTGACGAGCCTCTCAAGGCATTAATATTTACATTAGTGGTGATTCCCTCACACTATTGCATTTACAAGTACATGTGCTTTAAACAATGGCAGATAATGATTCTCGAAAACGCTTTTCAAGTTTTCTATGAAAACGAGCTCATAATTCCGCATTTTCAGAAGCGCTCAAACGCCTTTTTCCTAAAAATGGCTCCAAATTTTTATTCAAACTTTTCCTGGCAGTTGTGCTAAGTGTATTGTTTCAGGTTTATTATTTTAGATGTATTATAAAATATAGAGATAATAAATAAACTCAACTCAACACCAAGGACTATAAAAAGTTGGGTGGGTCCCATTTTTTGTGAACTGTATTTTCAAAAATTCCACAAGTGTAATATTGAAGATAAAGATTTTTGTCACAATTTCTGTTTAAAGTTAATGCAAATTATGCAATGGAGTTTTTGATTTGAGAGTGGTAAATTCGTGTTGATGAATTAAATTTGTATGCCAAAAGGCGCTATAATTGGTGTTGAGTTTTACGAGTGGTTTTTGAGGTGTGTTAATATGAACAGAAATTGTTATTACAATTTTACATAATTGTTACTGATGTGAGAAAGCACATGCTGTTATGGCACCTAGTTCTCTCTAATATACCGCATATATAATCATAACAAAAAAACTGCCCATGACTAAAGATAATAATGCTGCACTCCCCTATTTTATAAAAATCTGTTAACGGTTACAAAATGTTGAGGTTTTTAAGAACTGGCCAAAACCTTTCTGTATTATTGTGTTAATATTTTCATGTGTGATAGAGTAACATGAGTGCATAGGTTATAATTCCTTGAGTCTTCTAAACATACTAACAATGAATACGAATAGAGAAGCAAATTTATAATTCATTATTAGATATATCAATTTTAATGGTGTGTTTATTTTTTTGGTAATTGATGGGATGTTGATTTTGATTATGGCAATTATTACATCTCAGTTGATCTCTTAATCTGTACTGACCCTTTTAAAATATTATTGGATGTTTGCCCACAAACCTCTTTTTTAGCTGGTCCTCTTCAGAGACCAGAAGAATAGTAATGAAAATTCAGTTTTTAATTGCACACTACGATAAAACAAAATTCTGCATTTTTTTTCCATTATAGGCTCCTCCCCTACCTTCTTTTTCCAAAAATTGGTGACAAAAAATGGAGTGGGGGTCGGCAAGGATCTCCAAATGAAGTAAAATAATTTGTCAAAAATTAACTTTTATTTTTCAAGCAATGTTACAAATGGAAACATTAGTATTCTGCTGCAATATTCTGGGACATTGTGTCTGCAATTTTGTTAGGAACTGCTGATGATGAAGATTACAGGGAATTAGCCGTTTTTAAACAAAATTATGCAAAGAATAACATATAAAGTACACACCAATGTTTTGGAGAAATTTCATCCAAATAATCGAGGAAAGCCTGTATTTGAAGTTCAGAAGGTCGAGCATGCATTTTTGCATTAGTGTAATTTTTTTATTTAATATGCGTAACAGAAAATGAAAGCACTAAGTAATTTATGTTTTCAAAATTTAACTTTTATAATTAGATATAGAATATTTCTCATTTGCAAAAATTGTTAAATTAAGTAAAAAAATTGTTGTTAAACGAAGTAAAACTTATCTACATCGATTTAAAAATCGATTTAACTACATCGATTTAAAAATTAATTCTAGAGAAATTGAAAAAAAAGAAGAAAAAAAAGAAATGTAATTTTAAGACAAGAATTACTAAAAATTTTGAGCAGAAAGAAAGAAAAATAGCTCCAGATATATTGCACCCTAGTGCATATGAAAGTAAACACAGAGAAATATGCATAATAGTTATTTATGCACCCAGGGCATTAGGGCTTTAATGATCTTGGGTGACAAAATGCCCAAGGGTCTTTGGCTCGACAGCGTTTTGTGCCCGAGATCATTAGAACCATTAATGCCCAAGGTACATACATAATTTTAGTTTTACTTAATTTTATTGAATCAGATTTACTTATTTACTAATTAACTAGATGTTAACATGACTTGGTTTGTCTTTTCATATTTCTTATAATTCCCATCCATAATTCCCTCCATAAGAAAGTATGTTGCATCATTCAACTGTTTTCATATTTCTCTCGTAGCCACGATCCTTTCAATCAGGTGTGTTATGCAGTGTATATTGAACTCCGTATTGAAGGCAATAACAAGCTATAAAGTATCAGTAAAAAATAAAATATATTTATGTACCAAATAAGAGAAAAATGAATATACTCACCAATATTAATATGCAGCATGCTCTTCTTGGACATTTATTAATAACTTGAGCCTATGAAGCTTTTATTCAATCAACATGTTACATGTAATTTTATAAAATTATCATTAGACCAAATGGAAGATATTCTTTCCTTGTTCACATTATTACACAAAGGGTGTACAAAAATTCATGCTAGTTGAGAGTTAAATTAAAAGTTAGGAGTATTATTATCAGGGCTCAGATTTATATTGAATAACATGTACCTAAATATGAACAAATATATGTAATAAAAGTTCAATGAAGATTAAATAAAAATAATTCAAATATTCAATAAATCAGATGCATATGTTGCATAAATAGTACCTACCATGAAAGAACTTCAATTTGATAAAAGCTACAGAACAATATATAATAATTTCTGGTACGAAAATGAACTAATTTTTTTACTGAATTCCTTCATCCTGAGACATTTGGCCATTTGTGAAGCAGTGGATCACAAAGCCGTTTTAGATGTTAATATGAGAAACTGCTTCTTTGTCTATTAATTTTGCTTTAACTGGCTAAAATTGCACTCAACATCAGAGAAATAACCTTGAAAAATCTTGTGGAGTGAAACCTATATCTACTTCTAAACCTGATTTAAATTGTACTCAAATTTAAAAGTATTCTTCGTTTTCTAATTTGGAAAGAGTAATACGAAAGATATTGCAAATAAAATGTGGACATATGCAACAATACCCAAGTATTCGTTAAAGATGTGAGGTACCATGCCTATTAATATAGATTATCAAATGTGTTTCAATCCCTCCAAGAAACCTAACTTGTAAACCAATGACGAATGTCTCAATGAAACTAATGAATAGAGACCGGATTATGTGCAAGTTGCATATGCATGCATATTTTTAATATTTTTGAGAAAATTACATATTTTTAACAAATTGGCATAAGTTTGCATATTACTACTCTTTAAAGAAATTCAACTCATAAATTGCAGGAGAAATGTTTTAGAAGTTCTTTTCGTATGTTTCATTTTTGGGACACCAATAATGTCTTTGAGAAATGTCAAGACCAGAAAATTCCATCCATTCAATTCTTGCAACAAGAACAATGTGTAGATTCAAGTAGGTTTCAACAAGAAGGTTCTTCCAAGAGAATGATGGTGATGGTCTAAATATGAGTACCGTATGTCACATTATTTAATGGCACCATTTAAAAATTGTCCAGCATTGGTAGTAGATGTTGAGAACATTTTCAATTTACAAACATATGAATACAGATACAAGATGTAATTTGTTAAAAACATGGTAAAACATTTTGCAAATACTTCTCTCTGGTGAATATATTCACCGTTAATGTATCGTTGAAAGTTGTATTTAATAATGAATGTTCTACATAGCAAAATTATTAATATGCTTGTTTTCATTTTAATGCACATTCCTGAAGTTTTATTTCCTGCCTATTAGAATATAATTTGCCATAAACCTCCACTTGTCATGCATATTTTAGAAAAAAGAACTGCATATATATGCACATATTTTTCCAAAAAATGCTTGCATATAATCCGGTCTGTACTAATGAACAAGTATGTAACTATATACCAATCCTTACCCTAATCATTGAATTGTATACCAATTTGCAGTCTATTCATGGTAACCAAATGTATTACCAATGACTATATTTCAAAAAGATTCCTGTGAATTATTTTTCTTTTTATGTTTAATCTTGACAGAAACTTTCTGTAATTGATGTACTTAAATTTTTATTCCCCACTTGTTAGTAACACATGTTTGAAAGATTGCCTGAATGTAGGTTGAGAATGTCTCAGTATTAATTTTTATTTACTGAACAATGTTACTTGCAGATTGGATTTCAACAGATTTTATAATGTAGCAGTGAAGGAACCATATACTCGAGGTGAAGAAGAAACTTCTGGGTAGTTGATTTATGGAGCTTGGTCAAATAGCTTAGATATTTCTGTGCAATGAGTTTTGCTGTGAGGAAGAGCTGCAAATATTTTTCACATAACCAAGGCTGATATTGTTGTAAACATGTTACTTTAGAAATCTTAGTTTGTACAAAGTTTTCATAATTAAGAATAATTGTATTTTCTGCAATTAAAGACTATGCTTTTGTTAAACTATTTTATCTCTGTTTTATTCAGTGTATGCTGAAACTACATCTGGACTACAAAGTTAAAATGTAAGCAAGCTTTTTTGTGAGATTTAAATTTGTTTGTACTTCGTGTATTAAGTTGAATTGTACAGATGTGGATTGTTTCAAAAAACATGTACACCATGTAGTAGAAACAAATAAATTATTTCAGAATCAAATGTTTTTTATTGTTTCTATTGAAATTCGAGATACCTTGTTATATGTAATTAAATTTGTTCAAAGAATTGTCATCCCTACTAGGATTCAAACCCAGGTCTCTTGGATTAGGCCCAGTTGCTCTAACCACAAAGCTTCCTAGTTCTTAGGCCTGATTGCCTGTTATAATTATATACATGATTTCCAAGCATGAAACTTGTAAATGAAATTGCTTGATGCTTCAAATCAGCCATTAGCCCTTGGTCTAGAAAGCCATGGGACATTTCCTCTGCCAACTTGTTACTTCCTGCTTGGGTTTGCTATTTCTGAGTGAATATTCTCAGATCAGAGAATTCTTGAGACATGCATTGTACTAATGTACCTACAAAGAAATTGAAAGAAAACTGCAGCTTCTTATTGTGTGAGTTCTCTAAGGTTTCATTAGATACTTAGGAACTTGGGAAAAGTTGAAAAACTATGGAACAGTTATGATTTTGACTGAAAATGCAAATCTTTGATTGTGTTATTCTGTCTATTCTCATACTGAGGGTATTGACTGAATAAATACTCAAAGTGTCACAGCTTATGACATGACCGACAGCAAGTGTCAACAATGCTCCAAGGAAGAGGTCACCTGCCATGAAACATTTGCTATTAATTGAATTACTGAACAGCAACTTTTTGATTTTTTGGTAGATAAACATATGTTCTGAATATGTACTGTTCTATGTTATAGCAGAATTCATTAAATTTTGCTGTTAAAATGTATTTAATTAGTTATTATTTATAGCAGTTTTATTTTATGTTCACTAGTAGTGTGTGTGCTATTTTCCAGAAAACCATTTTGTGTGGTTTTATTAACCATCATTTTCCCTGCTGCAAACTACTAGTTTTATCACTGCTACTATTTTATTTGTGGACTGTTTCGATAGTTCAACAATTATTTTGGCCTAGTCACCTGGAGATCTTCCAATAAAGAAACCCATCCTCTGCACACTCAAGTTCCAAATTATCCTTACATGTTAATTCCCTCTAACGTAAATGTCTAGACCTGCCCCTCCTGTTATGGTAGCCACAAGGGATGGGGAATTAAGGTTAGCCATAACTAATCTGTTTTGATAAGTTTTCATCGTTCAACATTTATGAATGTTCAATGAATATCATAGGATATCTCCTACGATTAGTATTGAACGCTGCCTTTCTAGGTCTAACCACTAGCAACGTATCTGTGGACCAAAAAATCAACCTTCTACTAATGACAAGTACTCTCTGTTGGATGCAAGTTTTCTAATAAAAACAATAAGTTGTAGTTAATTGAAGTAACCCGACAACCATTACTCAGTTCCACAGATGAGTATGCCAAAATATTAATAATGGGTATGCCATAATAAAATTCTTAGCAACTACAAAACTGTACAGCCTTACATAGCTGCTAAATATATTAGAACTGTAATTAAATTAAACCGTACATATTATGAAGAATGTGATTAAATTTAACATTTGTGTCCTTGTAATAATTATAACTTTTATGTTTATATTATACAATTTTATAATAACAAGGGTCGCTGATGACCTTGATGTTATAAAACAACAAAAAGTTGTAGCATTGCAATAGTCATCAATGCTAAGGTCAGATGTGGGCTAGCTGACCTCCAGTCACTCCTTCAGAAATTAATTTCTTTCTGAACTACAACTTTTATTATTTCTGCTCTCGTACATACAGTACTTAAGCTATGGATAGTTTCTCAAAATATTCTTAACTATTATACTAACTATTGTGGATCGGTTAAGCAGGTCTACATACTTCGACCTTTCAAGGCTTTCTGGTTAATTATTTTTCATTCCCCAACAAACTAATATGTTACAAAGTACTCTCAATCAGAAAGGGATAAAAAAATTCCCAGACTTCTAAGCTAAATAGTTTGAAAGGCGCCTTTTAAAAATATGTATCTATTATCAAGCAATTAATATTAAGTTTTCTGAAATTAATATATTACAAAAGGGTTAAATAATATTTACGGAGAACTAGTTTACTTTTATTTATAACAAATTGAATGAAGTGAATGTATTCACATCTATTAAAAATAGTTATTTTCACTTTATTCCCAGATATTACCGTGTTTGTTGACATCCCCTTATTTCAGGAATGGGCCAATGGATACAAAATAAAAAAACAACATAAGTTGGATGAGAATTTATTTTTTATAATTTAAACCACAGAATGTCTAGCGGTTAACAGTACTTTCAGTACCAATCTGAACTGCAGCTAATACTTATTTATTCTTGTGCTGGATTATGCTGCCTTCTTGTACTTATACAACAGGGTAGGTACACTGCAGAAAGTGATAGCATTTAACAAGAGAGAATGGAGTTTTACAATATGACCTAACAGTGCATCACATTTCTTCTGAAATACAAATTAAGAATAAATCATTCTATACAATAAACAATGGGTAACTCAAAATTAAGTGCACAAAGCCGTGGATAAAAAGTATTTTTGTTTGTTTGTTGTTTTTTTTGTTGTTTTTTTTTCCCCCTTCACGTTCCTTTAATACAGTTTTCAACACTGACAATCAGTGTTATCGGTCTCCGATGTAAACATGACAACAATATCCCAAACTGTTTGCTTCATCTTGATCTTCAATAAATCATAACTAGTTTAGCCCCTATCACCCAAGAAACAAGTGAGATCATATTTTTACTTATTCCTGCACTCCACAATGGCAGCTCAATGCATACACACCGACAATTCCAAAAGCAAACACCAGTCACACTATTTTTCTGCACATGTATATCAGTAAGTAAAAAATATTAATGCTGAAGAAATACAATAAAATTCATACACATAAGAGACTGAACAAAAATATAAGACAAAACACACAAAAATAAAAAGAGTAATGAAGGGATAGGTGTTATAAATTTCTTTTTGAAAGTATTTACAAGATTCAGCATGATCATTGTTTTATATTCTGTTTAGTTACAGTCTTCTGCATCCAAAAGTTACCATAGCAAATGAAACAAAGAGGAACAAGTATATAAAAGATATATCTAAAGCTTTTCCTATTGAATAAATAGTTTGGCATATCTGAAAATGCTAAAATGCAGAGTGCAGCTGTTCCGATGGCTTGAATGTACATATACAATTTTAAAAATTTAATACAAATAGTGGAACATGTGACACACGAGTTGTGAGCACATCAGATTCTTTTCCCACATTCTTCTAATGACTCCATCTTGTAAGTGAAGTAATGTCCTGTATCCATCATCAGACACCACAGTCACCAGTAAAAAGAAGTTTGTAGGTCTCTGGTACGATGGTGCCGACACACTACTGTACAGCTTGACACCCCACCCATCTAGGATAGCTTATCACCGTTACAATGCAAGACATACTGGTGCACAAAGCTGTGCTGCCAGCACATCATTCCAACCCTAATAGGCTAATGAATTGTAAACCTAAGGACTAGATGGAGTCACTCACTTCACTTGACAGGCAAGCTGGGCGAGTGCGGAGACCACTGTCAAACGCAGGCCTTCTTCGTTGTGCCAGGGGGGCAATGGCAGGGGTATGGGCCCGGGCAGGTGCACACCCCATTGGCAGGAGGCGCGCTTGGTGGAGCCGCCAACAAGTGGCCACTCTCCATCTCGCTCACTTCTTGAACGCGATTGTTGAAGCTTGCCACACTGTTGCGCTGCCGGCACATGTATGGTGTGTCACCTGGCGATGGTGTATCACGTCCCTGGTGAACCCAAAACCGAACATTAGATCCAGTACAAATAACAGAATAATACAATACCCACCTACACTAGCGCCTAAATAGTTGCTCTAGTTCTTTCCTGAGCATTTTATTTCTCACATCAACATAACCACTGTCTTCTTCTTAACTTTCCATTTTATGAGAACATTTCTTTTTAAATAAGAAACTACATACCTTGTCTTGATGCAAAGTGACAAATTATCAAGTTTCAATTTTTTTTAAATTAAGCTAAAATTTGGTTACCTTACATTACTATCATTATATCATTCCAACTGCGTTATTTTATAACTATCTCTCTAAATCAACTTCTGAAAATAAATGGTGGAATGGCAAGCAACAAAGCAAGCAAACTCATCAAAGCTCTTTCTCTCTTTTTTTAAATATGTTTTTTTATATATACACATACATACATACATACATACATACACACACATATACTTATTAGGGTGGGAAAAAGATCTACACATATATTGAGCTTTTATATTATAAGGTTTATAGTACATTTTTCAACAGTATGTCAATAAGTAGACCCAGTTAATATCTATTACCTGTAAATTGATGCAACATGCTAGATTATTTTAATATTAGTGGCAAAAGAACTTAAGTTTTAGTATATTTTTTAAAAGTACAGTATGGACAAAAATAAGGAATTTGTGTGACACGTACAATTGCAAAGTTGCTTTTGCTAGCACTTTCCTCGTTTTCTTCTACCAAACATACTAAGTTAGTTACTCTTTATTAAGATTTTTCACATCAAACGGTACATGCCACTATCCTTGGTCCTGCATGAATAGTGGTCTAAGCTATAACAAAATGAGGAAGGAAGAACAAAAGAGACTGCTCTCGCATAACTACAACATCAAATAACCTGGAGGCTTCTGTGAGACAGACCTGCACCCTGCCTGCAGAGGCACATCGGCCTCCTCAATGGGTCAGATTAAGCCCCCAGGCTCCTGGGACTGAAAAGGAAACATTCCTTCAGAAGAGAAAAATGGAGGAGACATTATTAGCAATAGTTGGGCACAACTTCATGCAAAAAGTATTTAATAATGCAATTTAGCATGAAAGTCAAATTATCTTGTTGTAGGGTTGGTTTGATGTTTTCAGAATCTTTAAGATTTACTATAACAAAAAGAACCTTCCACACTGAAATTCCACTAGCATAAATATAAAGCATTTAATAATTAAATTCTATGCATCTGTTGTATGAAATAACCTGCAGTAATAGTTGAAGTCAAAAGCAAATAATCAATCACAAAGTCTGCTTTTGCATTCAATTTTTAAAGGAAACTAGGAACAAGACAAAAAAGAAAGGAGGGGGGGGGGGGGAAAAAAAAAAAAAGAGTGAACAGAACAAAACTTCTTTGCATTATTCTAATGTTTTTATATGGCTTTGAAATGATATAATAACAACAAAACGAAGTTCAAAATTTATAGAAAGAGGGAAAGAACTGAAGTTAAAATAACATTTACTTCTTTTTAGAATTTTGATCTTGGATAAATTTCAGCACATGTCATTTTTCTATAGGTATAGTCGAAAGCTGCACTAGTAACAGGTGTCCGTAACATGGAACAAATAGAACGGTTCTGAGTGTCACAGTGAGAATAGCTTTCCATATACAGATAAAATTTATACTGAATTGAAAATAATTAATATAATAAAAAATAATTTAAAAAAGATTTGTCTTTAAATTTCTAATTTGCATAATTTCTAAAATTAAATTATTTCTTTATTAATCAATTTAATGATACCAGTTTGTTCCCCAAATCTCATACTGAAAGTTTCCTCAGAAATGCAGAATTTAAATAACACAGTACAAATCTACCACTGCTGACTTCCTTGTTAGGAAATACTTATATTCGTTGCTACAAGCATTGAATCTTTCTCAAGAAAATACTAATTAGTGTTTCTACTGTTGTAATTCTTACATTATGCAATGAAACAAAATTGTGACGAAAGTGTTTGTCACTTAATCTATTAAAAGTAAAATTCAAATACAATTTCTGAGCCTCTTTGTGAAAACATAGAATTAAAATACTTTTCTTTGAATATATCATCAAAGTGCATTTCCAAAAATTTGCAAGTGTACATGCTATTAGAGTTTCTAAGCCCTGCCGAAAAAAATGGTGTTTTAGTAGAATCTGTTGTTTCACTGATTGCCTGTTTACCTTACATGTACATCTAGTTTTAATAAACCTGAACTTAAACAAACATACTCTTGATACTTTTCTTACTGTCAATTGATTAATCAATGTTTTTTAATGCAATGTTAATTTAATAAATAATTTAGGAAAAAAGAAATAAAGAAAACAAAACATGAAATAGTCGCATGTACTGATTTTACCTTATCGTTACATTACTGTTGAAAAAAGTACTCTCTTTTCTTCCATTAATTTTTGTAGCAATGAATTACAACTTTGAACTAATCGTGTTCTAATAGACTGGGATATCTTTTGAACTAAGGATGTTAGTGGTTCTTAAATGCAGTATAAGATGTTAATTAATAATATGTTATTATAAGAAGAAACGGCAATACATGCATTTAAAGGATAAAGGAAGATAAGAGAAAAGGGTGTTTAAATGTATTTTTATTTATACTCAATATATAGGAAATTGAGTTGTTATGTGACATAAAACAAAAAACCACTAGTCCAAACAACCAGTGTATGCAAATGAAATGCACACAATAAATTAGTCATTTCCTTTAAACCAATTATATTTTAACTAAGGCAAAGAAAGATGTTAAATATCTTACAATTTTTCTTGTATTAAGTTGTTTAACATTAAATAATTCTCAAGATAACAATAATCTACATTAAAATATTTGTACATACAAGCAAACTGAACTACATGCAAAAACATTTATACAAATTAATTACAAATGAATAATGTTAGTTGCAACAAGACATCACAAGCATAATTAGTGTACATTACAGACAGTCGCACAAGTTTATATTACACAGCTGTAATGGCTACTTGCTGAAAAACATGCTTCTTCAAATAATAAACAAGCTCTCATACAACCAACAACAATATTAATAGCAAATCTCACTTGTATTTTCAAAACATACAGAGCACACTACTTCATACCTTAATGTACATGATGTACACCTGCTTAATTCAAGCACATTCATTACTGGCTGAGCACCACTATTCAGAAATCTTGGAACATAATGTTTGTTAGTACGTACAAACATCACAGTACTTTCACGAAGAAAGGATCACAAAATAAGTAACAGATGACACTGGATGACGGCACTTGGAAGACAAACATAAAATCTTTGAGGAAATTAATGTATATGAATTGAATTCCTCTTAGCAATTTCTTGTTGGAATGTAATGACAGTGCCAAAAATATCATATATACTATTGCATTAAATTGACAGATATTTTAACTTTGAATGGGTTACAAAAACTTCATATCATCCAACTAATATCATATAAATGAATGTAGAAGATCTGCCATTTAAATATTCATGATTTTAATACTTCTTTTAATTACAGTTTTATTAAATGTATACAGCTTCCTCTCAAAAGACTTGATCACATTATTTTTTTAAATCCATTTTATTAAAGGAAAGCTGAAAAAATTATATCTCAAAATAAAGAATATTCAGTGAATAAAAACTGTATAAATATATGTATATGTATATATACAAAAACGATTTGAGATTTGAGATGAGCTATCCCATAACTTGCTTCTAATGCAACAGGTGTATGTCTAGCCAATTGCTAACTTCAAGGGTAGAACTAATCGTCGATTCCATATGAACAAAACATTGGGCAGGGCTTTGATTTAGACTCTGGAGGATTTTGAGACTTTTCAGCCTCTTCCTCTTTCTCTGACTTCGGAGACTTCAGCCGCTGACGATAATACTGGAGGAAATCACAGAAATTTGCTTTTGATTGTAGAGATAATTAACGTATTGTACTAAGGGTACTCTAAGTAAAAAGAGGTAGGAAGTCAATCAGTTATATTTAGATATCCCATTCATGCAGATGGATATTGTTACAGCCACCAATTAAAAATTCATGTACATTACACTGTTTAAGAGTCAAATAAAAATTAAATTCATCATGCAGTTGTGCAATTTAAAGGAGTATGTGCCCATTACAAAGATAAGCAGCTGGTCATGCATGGTAATTCGTGCAAACTCACATGTTTTGAAGGTCCACAGCAAGTGGAAAGAGTACAGGGTTTATCCGTCTTGGGGCAGTCAAGAACACAATCTTCAGTAGGAGCTGACTGTACAGTGTCTTCCGAGAATTGCTACAGATGCAAATAGCAAGTTTCAGATAAATTTTATACACATTATTTCATGACACTTCCTCTTCCTTCTTTTTGCAATAAAATGTTACATCCTCTTTTCTAACAGATACATCAATGCCTTTCTAGCCATAATAATTACTTTTGATGCAAATAATTTTTTAAAAAACTTCTCCTTTTGGATGTGCATCTTACACACAGTCAGTAAAAATAATTAAATTCAATTTGATTCAACAGAAAGATGTGTAGTTCACAAACATATATGCACTGTTAGATAACCACAGGAATAAGGATATCAAAGATTTAGCTCACATTAAATCACTAGTTAAGAGTAGATTTTATGTTTAAAGAAATTAAGTTAAAATTTGTAATTAGGACTTGTATTTCTAAATTTTTACACTTTTGTTTGTTGCTTCCAAAGACAAAAGTTCTCATGTATTAATCATAATTATGATGATGGAAGTCCTACTTAAAAATCTAAATTACACTTGCATACACTAGAAAACTTAAACAACTTGACATTCAAAAATTAAATAATTTATTATTTTATTGATTGCTTCATGAAGTATATCATGAAATGAAATATTGAAATTCAACTAAATATATTTAAGGCCTGATTTTGATGACATCCAAATGAAAGCCACGAATGATAAAACACTATAAAAGAAAAATACAATGTCAGTTAGTTTGTGTATGCTCAGGACATAATTAGAAAAGCAGTGATTTTTGTACTAATGCGCAGTTTTGTTCTGGCCCTAAATGCTTTTGTATATTATGTTTAGAATTTCACATATCGTACCTTCCGATGAATTTTTTTTGTATTTATTTTTTTGTGAAGATATAACAACCAATTGTTTAAAGATCACATTTGTTTAGTCACCCTCTCCCATCCATTCAACTGGTATGCAACCTTCCCTTTTGTCATTTTATTAACAAAATCCTAATTTACCTTCTCAGATAATTTTAAGATTTTTTTTAACAACCTAAAAGTGAGGATCCTACATATAATGTGCATTCACGTTCAAATATCTTCCTTTCAGCACATATGTCTTTTGGAACAACCACCCTCTCATAAAATTAGCATGAACAGTCTTTGACAAAACAATCTTACTTCAATGAACTCAGGTTGAATTGTTGTGGAATGGATGCCTTCATTGTGGAAAAACTCTTTTACTTTCTCAGCTATCTTCATGTATTCTGAAAGATTTCTGCAACTGGAACAAAAATTTGAATTGGTTATGATGAAAAGCAAACATTTAACTTATCCTGGAATGTTAACTAGATTATATTATCTATAACTAGATTTTAAAAAAATCCATTCTAGCGGTATACTTTTGTTTATGAAATAGAATTTCAACAGGAACTATTAATAGTACCAACCTATAAGAAAATGTAATTGTGGTTCTACAACATAGCACAGACTTTCTGAACGATTTGTAATGGTTAGATAAAATGATAATGAATATATGGCTAATTATCTGCAAATCTCCCTTTATAAAAGTCCAGCACACTATGTCTTCTTAAACATTATTGATCAACAAAACAGACCTTTTCTTGTGGGAACTTCATGTGAAGTACCCCCAAAAATTAAAATATTCATTTGAAATTCACAGTACTTTCAGAAAATCCTGTAAATGGTTTAGGCGGTAGTGTTGTCTACAGAAAGACAGACAAACAAGAATTGTTCTGGCAAAAATTATTTTTATGGTAGCAAAGACCCACAAATTAAGTCTTCTGACTAAACTATGTACTTAAGAGTGTAATTTATTACATATATGAGCAAGAAAATCCATTTTTTTGGTATCAGGTACCCATAGAAAGAGTTTTCCAGTTGAAAACTTTTTCCTGCAGCATTATATTACTTTCTCTACATAGTAATCATACATGAAAAAGGAGAAGTATAAAATTCAATGAAATTATTTTAGGTTATGAAGAGAAAAACACCTATAAGAAGATCAATAATTACATTAATGCATTTCTCCTAATTAACTTCTTGTAAGTATATACATAACACATTAATAAATCATGATCCTTAAAGATAAAATTTTGTTCAAATATTCTTTTAACTATTATTTCAATATGTTGTGACTAAACTCTTCCTCCCCATGCTTGAATATTTAAGAGTTGCATAAGTGATAATATAATGGGGGGTAAGTGCTTACCGAATGTGTGCTGAAGCGATGATTCGGTCACCAGCAAGTTGCCAGACATGGAATTCATGCACTGCCAACACACCATCCACTTTGTCGAGCAGTCGTCGCTGAATGGCATCGACCTGGATGTGTGTGGGCACAGTCTGCAGCAGGATGAGGGCAGACTCCTGCAGGAGAGGCCACACGGAGCGCAAGATCAGGAGCACCAGCAGAAGGCTCAGTGCTGGATCAATGTAGAAACGATACTTCCACTGGGTGAGGTATACCACCTGTCAAAGAGTGCAATTAATATAAATTACTTTGTACAAGGAAATATTAATTACCAAGTATGTACAGCAAGCAGGTCAATGTCTCCTGCTTGCAATTGTCTGATGACAATTTATGTTTGAATCAGGTTTATGTTTCATATTAGAAATGTAATTGTGATATTGATTCATTTCTTTTCTTTACATGCTACATGCTCTCACAGTCATTCACTTCTCTATCCTCTATACAAAGAAGCAACACACCTGGCGGAGACTGTCTATAAAAAAATAATATGAAAGATACTTATGTACTGTATTTTCTGAATACAAAACGTCAGGGGGAGGGTGCCGGGGATTACCGCTCCAAGAGAGTTGGCTACCTCATGCTAGAGAGGTATTAAGTGTCATATTTAAGATTTTCCCACTGAAGTGTTCAAATGAAGGAATTCAAATGGCAGAAATTGGACCAGAAAACATTCTTGAGAGCATTATTTTGATTCAAATTGTGTTCAAAATTGTGCATGTGAAGGTGGTATTCATTGCACTTGTGGGTGCCCAGAGAAAACAAGTAGCCTGCAATAGATTCACTGAAGGCCTCTTCTTTCAAGAAAAAAAGTTCTGCCCTCCCCTCTATAAATAGAATTTACTTCTTCATGTAAATAAAACTTATAGTGGAGAATTTGAAATAGAAGTAAAGACATTTTTTATTTGATTGGAATCCAAATAATGGGCTCGGAGGGGCCCCAGTGAAGTCGGGGTCTGGAACAAGCGGCCCAGGCTGTCCCCTCCTGAAGTTTTGAACCTCCTCCTGGAGACAATTAACCATTCACTATCTGCAAAAAGCACATACTCCCCAATTTTTTCATGCCTGTTAGAACATAATGTTCCATTTGTCAAATTAAGGTCATTGTAAATGTAACAATATAGTGGATTTATAAATCACTCCAAGTTAAAGGCATCAATTTGTGGAGAGGCGAGTGTGTCAAATGTAATAGTATTTCTTTTGCAAAAGAAGATTTTTTGTTTAAACCTTGAGTATTAATTTTATTTACTAAGAGATCACGTGAGATGAATACAAATACGAACCCGAACCACGCAACGATATAGATGCTACATTACTTTTTGAATATTTCTTGATCAGCAATGTCTGCGGTGTACATATCTCTCTGTATAAAAAAATAAGCAACAAAAAGTTAAACCCCCTGAAATAACATAAGCAGCTTGTCGGAAACTCTTATTGATGCAACTTGGTCGGGGGGAAAAATGTTTCGGAAGAGCGGCTTATGGCCCGAGGCGAAAGCGGTGCCGATTTTATCGTCTTTCAGAAGCGCAGCTTTTGGCAGTGCCCCAAAGGTCACTCGCCGACTCGTAATAACGGGTTCCTGAAGAAAAATATTTTGAAATAATTTCGGGGTAAAAAAATCGGAAACAAATTATTCATTAGCCGAAAATTTAATTACGATTAGTATTTATTATTACTGCGATTGCTTGAGGGATAATTACTATTTGCAAAAGCACCAAGTACATGGGCTTAGAGCTGACGGATCGGTGGTTGAGTGAGGAGGAGCGTCAGAACGCAGCCGCGCCGTCTATGTTTACTGACTGTCATCTCTTGGTAGTCAGCTGAACGATTTGTCCGACGCCTACAATGGCCAATGGCCTCAGGGCAAAAATTTGGAAAATGAATTCCGAAAATGGTCGATGAAACTCGCACTAGCATACCTAATAAATGTCTGTGGTGCAAGCAAACTTGCGTCGTTTGTTTTTCACATAGCACACAATTAGTACAGCGCTATGACCATGTGGTTTACGGACGGCAGAATCTCGTTAATCGTAATTGAGAATGATGTATTTGCTGATTAAATGGTTAAATCTAAATTATAACATCGCGAACTTATTAATATACTTACAAATTAATATACTTATAAATTAGTTCCAAACCTTCTGGTTTCACATTTGGCAATTGCAGTTAGGGACCCCATTTGGACCTGAACCGGTCGTCTTTGGATAGTTCCAGACTTACAGACTTCGAAATGATGCAATAAGTAGTGTTCTGGTGTGTGTAAAACGTGTACAGGCTCCAGGGCCACCTTTTTATCTCTTATTTTGTCAATGGGTTTCTTTCTGTCCTTTTTATATTAAAAATGCTTAACAACTAGATTTAAGGGATGCTAGGTCTTGGGGCGAAGTGATTAAAAATGGCAAAACTGAATAGCACTTTAGGATGTTCATTAAATGCATTAATTGGGGATTATTTATTAAGAGTTTCAAGGGAGATGAAATTGAACTTTAACCACGGGGCTGAAAGCTTGGCCAGCCTATTCTGAGCCAATAACCAAAATATCGTGATGTTATCGAAAGCTCAGCTTTATAGAACTGGCTGAACGAGGATAGTCGTATGCTAACACGAGGCCTGCTATTCGAATAGAGGGTCTGATAAACAGTGATGAGTACATTCCGCAAATTGACCAGCCTAAAACTATTCATCTTCCTATGTTTGTGTTTCAAAGGTCTTCCTGTCGTTCCTGCATTAGTACCAAATTTAGAACTGAGAAAGCAGTGAATTGTAACCAAACTAAATAAATAATTACTCATGGGAACCCTTAATTAACTATGGCGTATACAAATATTTTGCAAAAAAATTGCGCACCAATTTAATTCGTCCGCTGTACCGCATTCTCATTATGTAGTTTCATTGGTTTCAATTGCGCTTACGATCGCCTCTTCACGTGCACGTTCCTCAATGGCGAAACGTAACTACGGAATCAGTGAAGAAACAATTCATTGCACTAATTAGAATGTCTAAACTCGGATAGGTGGCCACCAACGAGGTAAGTACGCGACTTTTTCGTACGTACGATATTCGTATTATTTATTTATTAATTGATTGAATGAAGATGAAATGTCATGAGCAAATAATGAAAAATGTTAACAGTTACGATGAATCTGTGTGTTTCTTGTCTCGCCTCGAGTAAATACAAGAATTTGTGTTTCATACTCGAGATATACTTTAATAAAGAAAGCCGTCACATTTACACATCGTCTACTATTCCGAATTTCAGACAAAAGTGTTAGAATGACAAGCATGAACTATAATTCCAAAAAGTGAGTCAACTAGACTTGATGACTGCGCTTATAATTATCAAAAATGTGCTTTTAAAGGATACCTGTTATGTTTTGTTAAAAAACAAACTAGGAATTTACAGCACATTAGTTTTAAGCAAGGAAATCTCATGTTCTTAACTTACAGATATGCCCTAGAATTCATATAAGAATTGCTCAAAATACCAAGGAAAGTTAAAAGAACAAGAAGTAAGTGGTATAATGTTTTCATCATTAGAAGTCATAGTCGCATTACAACAAATATTTATATCAACAGAAAGCTTTTTCAGACACTATGTGGTCATTAGTGCAACTGGGGACAAACAGAAAAACAATCCAGCTGTATGCTTAAAAAGGCTGTTTGTGTTCAAAAACATTTTTTAGAAATAATTTAGAATGAAGTCTTTGCAATGTGAGTCACATGTAATGAATTAATTATCAGTAATTCAGAAACTTTTCAATAAATGTTGGTATTTTAATATAAAATTTCAGCTATAACACACCATTCAGGATATAGGCAGCTATGAAAGCATAAATTGAATGAAAAGTAATACACTTACAGATGCAGAGGCTATAACAATAACAGAGCCTAGGGCATCGGCCAAGACGTGCAGGAACACACCACGCATGTTCATCTGTGAAGCTGAATCCTTGAACTCCTCCTTGGAAGTCTGCTTCTTCTTACTGCCTTCAATGGGAGCAGGAGGTGGTGTCTGGAAGGTCTCATCATTCTCATTGTCATCCGTTGCAACGAGATGTGACAGACGGGTGTGGCTATGTTGAATTCCTCCATGTGAATGCCCATGGCCAGACCCATGCTCTGAGAAGAGATTGAAACATTGATACACAAGTGTACATGTACCCCAAGAGATATAACTACTAAATGTACAAGAAATTTAATTATTATGTAATAAACATACAATGGAAATAAGACACAAAAATATAAAGAAGTTACAATAGTATATGGTTTAACAAAACTTACCATGGAAAAGGAACAGTCCTACAACATTAACAATTAACCCCAAGCCTCCAACTATAACAATTAACCCTGGTTCGTGGATTTCTTCTACTTCAATAAACCTAGAAATAACAATATTTGTAAATAACATCAAACTTCATCATATGACATAATAACAAGGGGTATCGTAAAGAGATTACCTTTTACAAGCTTCCACAGTAATAGAGAAACATAAGGCAACAAGGAACACAGCATTAACTAAAGCTCCTAAAACTTCTGCTCTTGCCCATCCAAATGTGTTCTTGGACCATTTTTTAGGAGACATCTGCAAGAAAGAAATGAATTTAAGATCTCTGTCCAGCAAAGAAAATTTAGATGCATTTCAATTTTGCATTACTGGTTCAATTCCAAAAAGCTTGTCCTTTTTTTCAACATCAACTGTGATCTCAATAAAATTGAATAGATTGAACTTTGACAGATCTAGTACCACAGTTCGACAGATTTAAAGTTTCAATCTCAATTAGGTACATAACTGCAAATATACTATTCTCAATATATGAGCCTAAGAGTAAAAAAATATAGATATAAATGCTGACCAAAAAAAAGCATTTTGTAAAATTTGTTTCCCTCTGTGTTTGACCAGCCAAAATAAGGTTTTCAACATGTTAGTCACAAAAAAAGAAGGTTTTTCCACATGTTAAATGCAAGGAGAAATGTTGATATCCTCAACTTTTTCTGTTTGCTGGCACCACCATTGATTCCAGACTTCTAAAACCAGGAAAGACCAATGAAAAAAAAGGTTTGGACAGGAACCATTAATGATAACTCTTCATTTAATACTCATCGGGTAAGAAATACTGTTCCCAATCCTTTCTGTAGTACAAACTCAGCTTGCAAGTGCTTTTTTCCTTATGTCCTACCAACACAATATAATTGTCAAGAGAATTATCAGCTCTCCTATGACTGAAATACTGAAAAACAATTAAAATAAAACCAAAAGCAATGGAAATGGGGTATCGTCAAAGCTGTGGGTTGACACTGATGTACAGTGTGAAATGAATAAGTAAGATAAATAAATAGCAAGTTTCATATTTCACATCCACATCATCACATTTGCTTCATATTTCATTACTTACATTTAATTTATACCCAGAAGATTCAAATGACATGGCAATCTTAAGCATGAACAATTGTATCAATAGTTTCAGAAGTGGCAACAGTTTTCACCTAAAATAAGAGGGGAAACTCAGATCTAAGAAGGAAGAAGTGGAGAAAACTGTGGTCAGAAGAGGATTAAGAACAGAAGAGTACAGCAGCATAATGAGATGTAAATTAGGATGTGAGAAACTGGAGAGAATAGTGAAAAATACCCGTACATATAAATTCACCTTCCTTAAGTGAAGCTGGTCAATTTCAAACGACTTGCCGACATTGGTATTCCGGCCCTTCAGAAACTTTTGAATTATCATTCACTGCTTCGTTTTTAATCATTGTGGATCTGCCTTTCATAGCACATTCGGTATTTGAATCCCCCCCCCCCGCAACAGTGTATTGTACGAATTCCTTTAAAGGATATCCCCCCCCCCTCTAATGACCTACCTAAATGCTTTCTTTCCTCATTTGTATGACGTCCGGTTATTTCCTTTCTTTCCTAATACTTATTCTTTATCACGTGTGTCTGTTCTTCTGTATCTACTAATGTTACATCCCAACAAAAGGGGCAACGTGAGGAGCGGGACCCTGGGCGGGAGCGAGGTCGACTGAGGCGCGTACGCGGCAAGGGCTGCGAGGGCTGCTAGGGCAGTGAGCGAATGGGGTGCGGTTGTGAAAGGGAGGGGCGTTTCGCGTCTTACCTTGACGGAGAGGAAGGCGACGACGAGCGCCGCCACGTCGCTTAACATATGGAAACTGTCGGCGACCAACGCCATGGAGTTGGTGACGTAGCCCACCACGATTTCCACCAGGAAGAAGAAGGCCGTCAGCCAGAACATGGAGATGAGGCGGCATTTTTTCCCGGTGTAGCGCCCCATTGCGAGGGTCCTCCTGCGACAATGCAGACAACGCTCACGTCAGCAACACGACCCATAGCAGAGCAATCCTTCTAAAAGAAAAGTCAAAATGTATAAATATATTACGCCGGGCTTTGTTAAGCCGTAGTAAGTCATTTATGGAAAGCTCCTGCTGTTTCCCAGATTCCATTACATCGTGTCAACATATTAACAAACGATGGGATCCGATTGTCATAGGAACTGCCCCATGTGAACGTCATCAAAAGATAAACGAGAAAACGTTGCTTCTCCGGTTGGTACGAAGAAAGTTCATTCATCTTGTGCGATCGCCGGAAGGCACTGATATATATTGATCGTGCATGTGCACCTGTTTTTGGAGAAGTCAATTCATTATGCACATGCAATATTGTTACAGGGAATGTTGGGATATCGACAACTGACGTAAGCACCCCGTCGTTGTAGAAAGACGACCGATTCTATCGTTTACCCTGCTCATATTTTCAAGATGCCTCAATTTTTCTTTCAGTTGTTTCACGCAACCGCAGTTATCTAAATGAATCTGAGACCGATAATATTCACTGCACACATTCGAAAATATTTTACCAACAGGATATTTAACTAAAACTTATTGATAATGTTACGTAAGCTAATGCCACGGCAATGTAATGAAAAAAAAAAAGCCTGAAAGGATTGCAAATGTGACAAAAGTTCCTATTTATATTGTTGATTCTCCCTGCAATTGCACATCAACAATTTTGGAAATTATCACGTCTATTCATTCACTCAATATTTTAAAATCGAATACAGATATAATGAATATTTAACCAGTAGAATACTGATAAGCCCTTTTTAATATGATATAATTTTTTTCATTGCAACCTATGCTCGTCTGACCACTTACAAAGTTTAACTTTGCTTATTTCAGACGAGCGAGAACTTGCCGTAGAAAAGATAATTATAATGAGCTAAGAAATTAAAAATGAAACTCATGAATTACGTTTTAGTTTTTACTACTAAATGTGTTTACTACTTTCACTTTCATCCAACATTTGTCACTACAAACTGCACATCGACAACGTTCTCCAGCCTTCGAATATGTTTACAAAATATCCAGGTTTAGTGTAATGGGAAACTTTGAGAATGGGATTTAATGGAGAGTATTTGTTAAATACAATTTAAAGGTCTTTCTACTAATAAAAAATAGTCGAAAAAACTGGACGCAAATGCATTGAATTGCTAATATGTCACTAAATGATAAAATGTATTTTCTTGCGCCACACACTTTCATTGAACAAGAAAAAAAACGAAACCACCAAAAAGAAACAATAAAAAGAACAGAAGTGGCAATAACCATGAACACGACCAGCTAGGATTGTAACCTGCGACACATTTTGCGCGATTTCTCCGCGAAGGCACAAGCAAAGATAAATGTTTCAGTTCTACACATTTTCTTCCATTTACTTTGAACCGCAAAACCAAAGTCGATTCGACTTTTGATCCTCGACAAAATTCGAGACATCAGCCAAGCAAAGAGCGATTTATTTTCCTATCAAATATCATTACGGGCAATTTCGAACAACTCTTCGCTAGCTGTCAGTCTGGGTCAGCCTCACACTGCCGTACAGCTTTTGTGCAGAGGCAAACTGACTAGAACTTAGGGTCTGGATGAAAAGGACATCGAAAATAATGACCATTTGTGTGAACGAAGTATAAAATAATTGCCCTATTAAGATTATTGGTAATTGGCAATAGAAATCGGGTCCTTTATTTTTTTCCTTTTTACAACGAAACTGACTTAATTTTACAATAGTTTCCACACGATTTTCACTTTCGATCACTTTTTTTTTCTGCAGAGTGGAAAATAATTCAGTCTGAGTTCTTAAACAAGGTTAAAATGAGACATGGACGACTCTCTACTGCCATTAGGCTTCCATTAAGTCCGGTGTGGTTTTGTGGCGTCCATAAAACCCGTCATAGTTTTCTTCCGTGTATTTTGGAGTGACCGCGTGTAGCAGTTTCACTCGGAGTCACTTTTAATATTCGAGCTCATACGTATTTTTTTCTTCGGTTTAAAGTAATTTGATAATGTCATTTCAAAATAAATGGTATTTTTGCTTTAATATCACGTTTTACATTACATTAGCCTAACCGAAAACCTACGTTACAACGCAAACGTTAAGAATTCCCAGGGTCACGAGTTAGAGAAAGGGTAAGCATTTTATCGCATCGACAGCATTTCACGGTCATCACTAACGACCTGCAAATCGTTTAGGTATCAGTGTCTACAGCAAAGCAACAGTAGAAAATCCACATTCAACGCCTGTGTAAACGTTCAACGTATATACAAGAAGTTGCGCGTCCAAATAAAACTGAGAAGACTTAACGGTTTTTCAAAAAGTAAAATGAAGTCTGTTTTGTAATTGGTTTTAATGCCTACTATTTGTGACAAAACTAACGAAAAAAAAAACAGGTAAAATTTTAATGTTCTAATGAAACATTGTGCAATGGCGGTTGGTGTTCCAACAAACTGAGGTTGCAGGTCTATTGAATGAAGGACATGTAATTTTCAAAATTCAGAACACTAATATATAATAAAATGTAACCAATTCATACAAACTAATTAAAACCAAGTTTAATAAAATTATATATTCTAACATCACTTTCATAATTGTATGCGTAGTATCCGTGTCATGTATGTTCACCTCCAGCGCACATGGTTCTGGCTCTGATTTCCAGTGGGCACTCAAGTACTAGTTCTGCATAGACAATCGACAGTAATAAAATTCATACAAAATGAAAACTCACTAGGTTTCGAAAGTACGATGATCGGAATCCAGGATTTTGCAACAAGTAATAATGTTTCGACACGTTTTACATCAGTTCATTTCATGATCTTAGTTTTACTTAGGCTTACAAAGGTGATGATAACGAAATAAAATTATTTTAGGGCCAAAGAGAAAACCCAGTAAAAGAGCTTGAGAGCGCGACATGGTGCACTACTTGGGAACGCGCCAGAAACCAGATAGAGAGCACATTGGGAGCTCATTGATTTCATGTTTTTGTTTCAATTTTTAACACAAATAAGCATGCACATAAACTTGAAATAAGCACTTGCGATAAAGTTTACGTTCGCCCCAGGTTGACACGTTTATTCTAGGTACCTTGCATTTGCCCAGCCTATCGTGCAAGCCGATTAGAATTAAGTGGAATTTGTGCTTGAATAAGTGCGAGTGTAACGGATTATGTGCAGAAGAATTGATGGGTGAAACAGAGACTGCCTTCGCTCACGCAAGAGTCTGAACGAATCCTAAGAATGCACTCGGAACTGCTGTCTGGTCCAATTTCCTTGATGTGTGTGGAAATCATAAACGAGGTAACTACTTTAACTTTCCCTGTCATTTTGCACTCTAAATATTGGAGAATTCAAGGCGACCTAATCGATCATGTACGCTGAGGCTTTGGGCTAGGGATGCCACATTGATGTCTATATTTTCAAAACATCGGTGTTTCTATACATATAGCGGTATTTCAAACATAGATTGATTAACGCCGATGTTGTTTTTTTTTAACATCGATGTTTCATACTCGATGTTTTGTTTGAAAATATCAATGGTTTTTATGCGATGTATTTGTAATATCGATGTTCTTTATAATTTAAAACCCGAATGTTCTGTTGTCAATGTCGCAGTCCTACTCCGGACTCGAGATTTTCGTTTACTTTCCTTCTCAATTTCTCTCAGTTACAAGCCTGTTTTCTTCACGCATCTCGGCACGGCATCTCTTCACTCACTCGAACCTGTACTATATACTATAGCTGCTTTCGTCAGTTCCGCTTCCATCAAGTTCAACTCTCACGTTGTTGATCATGAAACATTCTCGCGAGTGCACACTAAAATTTACTGACAGTAAAAGACGCCCCTCACACGGAGAATGCACCGCAAAACACAAATATCTATCATCAAACTCAACGTATGCTTCCAGTCTAGTTATGCAATTCTGCTATCGTAACAGGAGAGGGCGAGCCTTGCCCCATGAACGGTTTGAAAGGAAGCCCGTAGCCTTACATTTTATTCCAGTATATATCCTCAATTCATGATTTCCCCTTTTTACATGAACATTTCGGAAATTGCTATACATATTTTAGGGAAGAAGTTCTCCAAGCTATTTGGCGACACTGTAAATGATTCAACACAAAATAAACTGAATTAATTGTATTATTATAGCAATTCTATTCTCCTTGTAGTGCATTTTATTTAATTACAACAAAATATTACATTTGTAAATTAAAAAAAATATAATGGAAAAGGGAGCCCAGAAATGTAGTCGCTCCTCTTTTGTTCTAGGCTGCGCAAGTTAATGATTCTAGAGAAGATGGTAAAAGAGCGGAGATCTAATAAGCTCTATTTCAGCCAGGATTTTGGTTCCGCTTATTTCGCAAGATTATTTAGTCCGATTTAAATATAGTGTCTCCAAGATCAGAGCTGAAAGAAGGGAACACTGTCATCGAATCGGGAGCCTGAATACTCAAAATTTGAGTCGTAACGAAGCCCCGATATAAGACCCCGAAGTATGACTCTGCTACGTCAACTAGTAGTGAACGGAGATAACTAGAGATGGTATCTAAATAGAATTTAGAATAAGTTCTGTTCATGCGAGAGACCTATGAGATGGGACAATCTATTTTACTGTCCTTCCGAAGGAAAGTTGACGAATAATGTTTAGCAATTATAATAATCCGCTGCTTGATGCAGGTTCGAACTTCAGTATAACAGTCCGACTATGCTCGTTCACTTTCACAAATACGTAATCCCATCAGGAAATCCTAATCTCCATTGTGTAAGAGAAACACAGTAATCGAATATTCCGACATTACGAGATTCGAGTAGCCAAAATCAAATCGCCAATCGCGGATGAAGAATAAGGGGTGACGAAAGAAATAGCGGATTTTGAAGCCTGGCTCTAGACACTCAGAAAAGGTTTACTGTGATACTGACAACCCCGCTTAGGCTTTGCTTCTCAATCGCATGAATTGAG